CCGGTACACATATGAAAAGTGCAATGAAATCTCCTAGGAATAAGAATGAAATATCCATTGAAAGCGCCAGGCATCCAAATGAGAAGCACAATGAGATATCCTGGGTTTAGCAATGAAATATCCAATGAAAGCACCAGGTATATCTATGAAAAGTGCAATGAAATATCCTAGGAACAAGAATGAAATATCCATTGAAAGTGCCAGGCATTCAGATGAAAAGCACAATGAAATATCCTGGGGCTAACAATGAAATATCCAATGAAAGCGCCAGATATATACATGAAAACTCCAATGAAATGTCCTGGAGCTAAGAATGAAATATATATTGAAAGAGCCAGGCTTTCATATGAAAAGCAAAATGAGATATCCAGAGATAATGAATGAAATATTGCAGGAAATCGCAATACAATATTAATGAGATCACTTAGGCCATTTAATGAAAAAACCAAATGAAATACATAGGGAACTTAATGAATGAAAATACTAGACAAAATAATGAGTTGTCTCATTGAACCTCTAGGCATTATACACATCGCCTTCCAGGCATGTGTCTGGTTTTTATCATAAGAGTGTATACCACTAGTGCTGGTTCCTCCGTGTCGCTAGTGTAAGCATATGTCGTCGTCGGGGAAACACGAGAAGTGCTCAAGGAGGCACGAGCCGAACTCAAAGCAGCCACCAACACAGAGGGTGGGATGATCAACGGAGACGCGCTAGCACTTGCACGAGGGGCAGAAGCGCTCCATCGAGAAGGACTCACACTCCTGGGCTGCATCCTCGAAATCGGCAAGAGCGCCCCTAGCTGCTTGTCAGCATGGATCGGCAAAGGCAAAGACGAGGCGTTCTTTGACCTAGAATGTTACTGAGGCTGAGGAGCGAGGAGACACCGCTCGTCCTCTCGCATTCGACCACCCGTCCCCTTCCCAGCTGCTCTCCCTTTTGCTCTTCTCCTACAGCCTCCTGCTGGACCAGTGCTGAAGTCGTCCGTTTGTTGAGGGTTCGTCTTGAACGAGGGCGCTCATGAGGGTTGAGAAAACTAATAATTATTGGATTATCTATGCTATGTCAGCACGAAGAGCAGTCTTAAGTTCCACTTAGGTACTCAACATACGTTCTATGGCACTTGTATCTGCGTATATCAAGTCAAGCCTAATGTAAAAACTTTACGCGTGCGGGGTGGGACACTCTGCGCGCGGCAGAGTTTCGCGCGTGCGGCACGATTTCGCGCGGAATTGTTTATTTACCAGATCTAACAGCATAGAGGGACGTGGGTGCGACTTTTGTGGAAGAAACGCCTGTTAAGCTGCGTGCGATGTTTTCTTCGCGGTCTCAAGCGCAATGCCAGGTGGATTCACAACCGACAGGGAGTTAACGACTGGCGACTGGTCGGTCTACTTCGTCTTCAGATTCATCAGCAAGATCACAAATTGGTTGGGACGGCTTGGGACGCTTGGCCAAGGCCGCCAACTTCGCCAAGCTGCCAAGCTCGATCCGGTCGTCCGAAAAAAGAGGCCGGATACGAGCTGGCGCAAAATCGGCCAAGTAGCTCCCAAGTAGCTCCCAAGTGACGCCGATTCGAAGATACTCGACCGATTGTAAATATATTTGGGCTACTACTGTAGACTAGACAATTCTATGTATCTACGAGCCTTTTGTGCACAGGAAAGGATTTGGTGTGAATATTGGTAAGCAGTGTCTGTGTCCATGTAGGATGAGAACAGTGTGGCGGGATTGGGATTAGAAAGATACATACCAAAGTTCAATGGTTGCGCGGGGATCCGCAGCGCCCTCGACAGAATCTTCGTCATCAACTAACCCGTTGAGGCCGGCACGAATATTTGCCTCCTCAAATATGTACGCCCAATCCTCTGGCGACAATCGAGATGCGGATTCGATCCAACCACGTGTCTTGAGACCCCAGTCGCTGTCGTTGAATTGAGCGACATTTTTCTTTTTGTTTCCCTTCTCGTCCTTGATCGGGTTTACCCCGAATCTCCAAAGGAACAAGGCACATTCCATCTGACCCAGGGTTAGTATGGCATGTGAGGGATCACGAACTACACTCACGGCGGCAGTGCAAAGCCCCAACCCTCCAGCTTGGGATCCGTATGATCTGGGGGCGTTGCTGGTTTTCTTGAAGTGGTATGCGAATAGATTGAGAATGAGGTCGGATTTGAAGCCTCCTTTCTCATTCTACAAAAGTACATCAGCAACTTGGCCATGATGAAAAAACGAAAGACAAACAGGAGGGGCATCGGGGTCTGCATAAATGAATCTAAAGCCTTCCAAGGCGTGTGGGACGAAAGCCATGATTTCGTCCTTGTTGAGGTTGTACTCAGCAAAGAAAGCGCTGAGGACATCGAGCGCGTTCATTCCGATGCTGCTGCGCCAATCTGTGAGAACGTCACCGGCCTAGGTAGAGGTGAGACATTGTGTATTGAAGGAAAAAAAAAACTCACAACCGAAGTAACGATTTCAAGTGAGTTTTCATGCGCTTCGATGTTGAGCTCGGGGAAGTTGTCATTCCAGACAGTGCGGACGACTTTGGGTGTCAAATCCGAGTTCGCTCTGTAGGCGCATGGCCTGGTAGCTGCGAAATCCATGAAGGATGCGCGTCTGTGCTTGCGCCACCTTGCGTGGTAGGCAGCATACTGTGGACCACCAGGGAAAGGGAGATCACTAACAGTATACTTGACGCGCTTTGTTCGACCGGTGGTGTCAAGATTGGTGACGGATTTCTCAACAATCTTGATGGCAGCCTGCCATTCATTAATTATCCATTGTTGAATATGTACGGACAACGAAAACTCACTGGCGTTGCCTTTTGACTGTCCTTCACCTTCACCATCGATGGTTTGGAAGCTCGGATAGCTGCCAGGGCCTCAGAAGAATCTTCGCGATCGAACTCTCCTTCAACGAGGACTTCGGCTTCGGCTTCTTTGGCGGGGGCTGATTTCTGAGTAGAGGCGGGCGTAGTCTTGTAGTTCACAAGCTTTTTCCAATTCGCCATGAGGCCCCCTTCGGATTTTTTACCACGTTTTGCACTACTTTGACAATGAGACGTTGAAGTGAATGATAAGAGACACATGCCTGGGTGCATCATCGACTGCCAGGTCCTTCAGATTGCGCTTGTTTGATAATGGTTCTACCACTGCACCGGAACCGGGGGCTTCCTGACGTAGACCTTGGACTTGAAGACGAAACGTTCCGTGAGGAGGCTTGAGAGAGTAAGTGAGGAAAGGGATGATGCGTGATTTTAGAGTCACCTTTGGAGCCGATTTCCCTTTTTTGGTGCGTGATGGAGGCAGTGCTTCCATCTCGTCCTCGCTTGCCTCACTCTTGTTTTGTTCCATGACAAACTCCTCATCTTCATCCTGCTCACCGACTGCCATCCCATCGCTTTCGCTGTCGGCTGTGGACTCAGGTGGTAAGTAGTCATTGCCCTCCGATAAACCACCGTCGTTGGTCTCAGGCTGATCATCAACACCAGGCTCCGACCTCATCGAAATGCTGGATGGTGGGCGTGTAACTCTGTAAGTAAGTCCCCTAATGCGAATTCCACCATCATCTGTTGAGACCCCCCCTGTAGGAACTGGGGCAACAGCAGGAGGGGCAGTGGGTTGAGACTAAAACAAGTTTAGATTGATGGGTACGTATAGAAAACGAGAACCTGCCTGTTTGACTGAAGCTGACATGTGAAGGTCAGGACGGATTGCTCGCTCCATGTTTGCGACATTGGCGGCGCGGATCTTATCCTCAAGTTGGGCAACGCGCGCCCTCTTTTCGGTTTGCTTCTGAGTCTCGGCCACTGTAGCAGAAGCAGAAGTGGCTGCAGCCGCTTCATTATCAGCTTTTACCTGTTCTGAGGTACGTCGCTTGGCAGTGCTACTCAGAAGAACTTGAGCTGGATGCCAATTTGCTTTGGCGCGTTTAGGACGTCCAGACATCTTCGAGATAGGTGATGGGAGTGGAGCGAAGGGGGGAATGGAGAGGGAAATTGTTTGGTCCGGGTGGTCCGACATTTTTTTTGCCTTTCAGACCCCTATTGGCCGGCAAAACTTGCAATCCATGCACATCGATCATCGGGTGGCTTGAGGGCCGGCACAAGAGACTTAACATCAGCAGGATCCGTCAGTTCTTCCATTTGTTGTCGTTCACTCATGGTCCTTATTTCTTGCCCAGAAGAAGGCTGCCCCACTCGTGTCAAATCTCAGCGGGGGCTCACTTATCATCTCCGCTCTGTCCACAGAAACTCGAATCAAGTTCAGATCACCATTCCAAATGGACCTGCGACACCATTGCCTCCGCTACCATCCCCTCCTCTGGATTTCCTACCAACTGATGGTTACACCAACCAAGAGCCACCAGAGCCATCCCAGGCTCCTCCACCTACTGCAGAACGGCCCCAGGTACCCCGCCCCTCCAAAATTTATCATCCACATCTCACGGGTGAGCGTTATTAATGGCCTTGCATACTTTTTACTCACGAGAGCCTCATAGCGTTACCATGTGATGCTGACGGCAATACCCTCCCTGCTGGTACCGCCCCCCCACCACGTACAACTGCTGGACCTACCGATTGGTCACCATATGAAGATGAAGTGCAGTTCCGAACTGCCGACTTCCTCTATCGTCGTGTTGAGATGTCCGCGGGGAATATCAATGAACTCTTGGAGCTGTGGGCGCTCGACAAAGCGAAGCAGGATGAGCTGGGCCCATTCAGTTCCTATGAGCATATGTATGAATGTATCGATGCTATGCGCCTCGGAGATGCGCCTTGGAAGTGTTTCACGGTCGGCTATGCAGGTGATATTGGGCCAAACGATCCGTCATGGAAATCGGCTGAGTATGAAGTTTGGTACCGGGATCCCGAAGTGGTCATGTCTCAAATGCTCGACAACCCCGACTTCGATGGACAATATGACTATGTTCCATATGTTGGGCTTGACAAGTCGGGCAAACGCCGCTGGACCGACTTTCTCTCGGGAAATTACTCCTGGCGCCACAGTGTATGTCAAATTTCAATCGACCTGAATGTTTCACTAATGCAATAATTTTGTATCTTCTAGACAAACATTTATGAGAATGACCCTTCCACGGAGGGCGCTATGTATTGTCCTGTCATTGTTGGCAGTGATAAGACCACAGTTTCGGTAGCAACTGGTCACGTCGAATACCATCCATTTTATATTTCCCCAGGTGGTGTTCACAACATGGTTCGGCGAGCCCATCGTAACGCGGTCGCTCCTACCGCATTTTTAGCAATTCCCAAAGGTATAGCTACATTATTGTTCATTTCTTTGACTGGGCTAAACATCTTTTCAGGGGATCGGAAGTATGACAATGACCCCGCGTTTCGCAAATTCAAACGTCAACTTTACCATGATTCAATTGCCGCCATTCTCAAGACATTGCGACCAGCAATGAGTATGCCAGTTGTTCGTCGTTGCCCAGATGGTCATTTCCGCCGCGTCATATATGACCTTGGCGCGTACATCGCGGACTACCCTGAGCAAGTATATCTTGCCGGCATTGTTCAAAACTGGTGTCCGAAGTAAGCACCTCTCGACTTTCACCTACTTAAATTACTAATGTCTTTCAGATGCACCGCACTTCCGACCGGTTTGGATGGCTTCGCTGATCGTCGCTCGCAAAAGTTCCATCAGGAGTTAGTCCAAGAGCTGGACTCTCGGACGCTGTGGGATGAGTATGGGATTGACGATGATATTACCGTTAGTGCTCCCCTTCATCTTGAACATACAAAAGGTTCTAACTACCTTATACAGCCATTCACATACCACTTTCCTCGGGCAGACATCCATGAGATGTTGTCTGCAGACCTGCTGCACCAACTCATCAAGGGAACATTTAAGGACCATTTAGTCCAATGGGTCGGAGACTACCTTTATCTTGAACATGGGGATGCTAAAGCTAACGAGATTTTGGACCAAATTGACCGCCGGTAAGCTTTTGATACCTGTAATTCTTTCTTGGTCTCTCATAGCTCACGGATTTCAGTATTGCTGCAGCACCTGCATTCCCCGGTCTTCGCCGTTTCCCTCATGGTCGACGCTTCAAGCAATGGACGGGAGATGACTCGAAGGCGTTAATGAAGGTATGTTTTGTTTTGTCGTTCATTATTTACTGTCCTGACTTTACGCTACAGGTTTATCTTCCCGCTATTGCTGGATTTGTACCTTCCGAGATGGTGCAGTGCATCGCAGCTTTCCTGGACGCGTGTTACATTGCCCGCCGAGCTGATATCACAGAGGGATCATTACAAGACCTCGACGCCGCCATCAAAAAGTTCCATACCCATCACGAAATCTTTCGCACGTCCGGTGTTAGGCCAACGGGGTTCAATCTTCCTCGTCAACACTCCCTTGCCCACTTGATCAGCCAAATCCAGGAGTTCGGTGCTCCTGGAGGTCTCTGCTCATCTATCACCGAATCACGCCACATCACTGCTGTCAAGAGGCCGTGGCGTCGCTCCAATCGATACGAGGCCCTTGGCCAAATGTTGCTCACCAATCAGCGGCTCGATAAGCTCATTCGAGCTCGCGCCGATTTCGTTGCGCGCCGTATGTTGCCTCCTACCCACGCACCACCTCTGAAACCAATCCTACCTCCCGATGAGGACGACGACACGGGAATCATTGACGAGTATGTAACAGGGAACGTTACTCTTGCGAGAACTCGAGGTACGCACATGTTTCACTTATTTATTTGGATTGCTGCTTATTCATGATAGAACGTAACTACCCCCGCTACCTCCAAGACCTGGCTCAACATATCAACCAACCACAGCTCGTTGAGCTCACTCGGCGCTTCCTTTATGATCAACTTCACGCAAACGACGGCACCTCATCATCTGACATCCCTCTTCAGCAATGTCCTTATCCAACAAGCAAGATCTCGGTCTTCCACTCTGCCGTCGCCACGTTCTACGCTCCTAGTGACAAGTCTGGCATCCGAGGCATGAGAACGGAACGTATCCGCTCAACCCCTTCATGGCGAAAACAAGGGCCGCGACACGACTGTGCTCTTGTTGTCGAGGACCAAGACAAGCCTGGAATGAAGGGGATGAGCATTGTCAGAGTAAAGCTCTTCTTCTCGTTTACTCATGATGCAAAGACATACCCGTGTGCCTTCGTCGAATGGTTCAAATGAATTGGCACAGCCCCTGATCCCGAGACAGGTATGTGGAAGATCAAGCCTGACACATACCGAAACGGCGCGCATATCGCCACTGTTCTTCATTTAGATACCTTTCTTCGGGGTGGGCACCTTCAGCCTGTATTTGGGAGGGATTTTTTACCCTTTGACTTCCATTTTTCGTACTCACTGGATGCATTTGAGGCATACTATGTTAGCAAGTATGCAGACCATCATTCACATGAAATTTGCTTTTAAACATGTTTGTATGTTGTATCTAACATGTTATTATAATTGTGGTGCTTGGCTTTCAGACTCAAAACTCGGGCAATTGTATTTAACGACACAAATCGGCGTAGCTTGGGAGGGGTCGTACGATTTTGGGATGTTTGGCAAGCGCCCCAAGCTCCCAAGCATCGCCAAACAATTTGCGGTCTTGCTGATGTTGGGCTAGGGACCTATTCGGTTTTGGGAGGTCCAAGATGGACGATGAGGAGACCTTGGAAGACCCGGAGGAGATCTAGCAACTGCATAGTTTGCCGGACGTTCTACTGCTGAATCCCGAGCCGAGGAATGTGTTGACAGACAGCACAGCAGTGGCAGCGCGCTTTCAATCTGTGCATCATATTTTCCTTTGCATCTCTCGCTGGCGATTCTCCCCAAAAGCAATAGCTTTTGCCTATTTCGTCGTCGTCGGAAGGTCAACTCTATGTTTTGGACTCACCCGATGCCTTTGTTCTGCTGTACATTGTGCCAAAACGAGCCAATCGCATCGCCTTCTGGGCTCTTTGATTGTTGACATTCACTTGCACATTGCGCAAGACTCGCCAATCACCAAAATTATGAAGATATTCTTCCCTCAACGAAGGCCCATCCACCAGAGGCAAGACGAGGACCAGCATAGTTTATACTTTTGGCTTTCAAGGCTCTCAACATTGCCTTGCTGCGCCGGTTGAACGTCTTTGGCACGGTGGCGCGAACTACGAGAATCTTCTCTCGTGCCGGAGGGCCGAGTACGTTCTGTGCACTCGTGTTGGATTGTCAGACTTTCGAAACTCGGCATGTATCGTGTCTTTTTTTTCCTTTTTCTCTCATGCTCATGCTCATTGAACTTGTTTTTCCTATTGGGTACAGGTGCGTCAAGCGCCGATGTGATGCCAACAAAGCAAAAGGAACTTCGGCTGGCCATGGGGGCTTATTTTCAACCAAGCGATAGTATGTGTCTTCTACTCGGTTTCTCGACATTTCATGATCATCTGGGCGGTCGAAATAGAGCTCTTTTATCTGAGGTCACTGTCTTTTTATCTTCTTTCCCTTTGCGGCCTGCTCAAACGTGGTACAGGAAAGCGCTTAGGGGTGCGGTGGCCGCGAATACACGAGGTAGTAGTCTCTAGCCTCGAAATGAGAATGTATTTTTCCATATTTCCTTGTGATAGATAGACGGGTAGACTCGAACCCAGTCTCCGATGGTAGTAATTCGCTATGTTTGATTTGAGTAAGAGAACGTAGTGTTGAATTCGAAAAAATGGGGAAGTTCTGTATTTGGAATGTGTGAGCGGGTAATTATAGACTCGCAAGCCAGTCGGTACGGTAACAGAGTTATTTGGTGATGTGTACTGTTTGTTGTGGTGAGCGGAGAGTGAAAGGAGAGTAGTTACCGTACCGACTGGTCTACACTGTCACGATTTTGGCAGGACCAGCGAAGTGTGACAACGGACTTAGAAAAAAAAACGATCTCACAAAGAGCTTTCCTCACATCACACTCTCTTCGGAACAATGTAGGTCGTCAAAACAATGTTTTTAATATATACTTGTAGTACTTTGGGAATTTATTGTCCAGTTGGCTCTAACGGGGTGTTGGGTGGTGTATCTTGAAAGAAACTAGCCAAGTGACTGCTCGACGATCCCCGATAGAAGGGAGTGTTGGGATAACAAGATACAATGGGAGTGTGAGGTTGTTGCCAGAGATATTGTTGGTGTGGTGTGTACACCAGATGAGCATAAGGATTCTGTTGCAATCGCGTTGGTATCGGCGTCGATGGCGTAGCTGAGTGCATAAATTGGTTCGGGGTACCTCGAGGTCGAGTTGCTGTTTGCGCGGCTGGGTTTGGCGCTGGTGTGGCAGCCTGAGAAGTTGGCGCTGGTGTGGCACTGGCAGCTTGAGAAGTTGATGCCGTTGATGCTGACATCGTGGGTTTTCGTGCACGTTTTCCCCTCCCACCATCGTCCTCCAATCCGTCCTGCTCCTTCCTTTTTTTTGTGTTTAAGCCTGCTTTTCTTTTTTTCTTCACCATGTCAGGCATTTCGAGAGTATTCAAAAATGCAAGTAACTCAGCTCCGTATGTCGCATACCATTGCCATTGCCCAGCAAGTATCTTTTCAAGCTGACAGATTGAGGAAATAGGGCCAACAGACGAGAGCATCGTGATCGTCCCGTCTTTCATGATTGCACTGGGACCAAACATCGCGTGTGTGAAGTCACGCTCGTAAACTTGGGTACGCCATTTGTGCAATTCATGCTGCACGTACTGTGCTGGTTCGCCTTGCTTTGTCGCCGTTTGCCGCGCTTTTAGCGGAGGGGGTCCAGGTCGTGTTCGGTTTAGAAGGGATGGGTCGCAGAGATCGCAACATGGCATGGTAGGGTCTATTGTAGAACGGTAAGCCAGGTTTAGCTGTGCGAAACAGACTTACGATCAAGCGCGTTGTTGTAGATATGTGTCAACACTTTACGCCTGCACGACGTCGTCTGGATTAGCACGTAGAGACCTTCATCCATACTGGTCGTATCAAGAGGAGGTTGCTGGACAACGGGTATGCTGTCCGTTTGTCCTCCAAATGCGCCTCGAAGAACGCCATGCGCAACCGCATATGCCTTCGATGCTTTTTTCTTTTGTGAGTCCTCGTTAATCTGCTTTTTCCTTTTGTCTCCCTTGGGATTGACAGCCTTTTCCTTAGATTTGAGTTCGGCCTCGACGTCCACCATATATGCCGATTTTTCAGCCAACAAAATGGCCAGCCCTTCATGGCCATCTGCACGGGCGGCGCGTCCCGCTCGCTGAACAAAGGTAGACACTGAGTCTGGAAGTTTCCATTGCACGACCACATCGATGTCTGGTATGTTACACCCCTGTAACGATATCAGCAGCCAGATTGTTCAACTAAAAAGTTCTTGTATACCATTCCAGCTGCATCGGTGCAGATTAATACCCGGACTTCACTGACATTGAAAAGATCCATAAGCTTGGCCCGATACTCATGGGAGAATGCTGCGTTGAAGGGTCTGATGAGGCCCTTGTCACGAAGATTCTCAGGTAAGAGCTCTGTTAGGTGATCCTCGATATCAATGCCCATTGACACACTGTCAGCGTAGATGAAAGTTTTCGGTATGTCTTTTGGGTCCGTAATGTCACCAGGTATGACGAAATCCAGGTCCGCATAGGTATTCATAGGGTGTTCAATCGCTCGAGTGACCAATGACACATTGGGGCGATCGTTGCCCACGTTAAGGTTGGTATATCCATCCTTCGGAAATTGCAGTTTGTTCAGTACATCTGTGTGTATCCGTGGCGGAAGGGTTGCTGATAATGCAACTATAGGTGTTCCTCGTGGTAGGAATGCCTGCACCATACCAAGCTCACCATATTTCTTTCGAAAGCCAGCACCCCATCGAGACACGACATGGGCCTCGTCAACCACAACAGAGACGACTCGCGACGTGAAGCTCTTTTTGCGCAACACGTCGTCTATAAATCTCTTTGACAACAACATTTCAGGTGAGATCAGCACTATCTGGTGCTTTCCCTCACTCACACGCTGATGACACATATCAGCGAGTTTCTTTACATGGATGAAGATAAGATATCCTACGGTAAGTGCTTCAGGCGTACATCCCCCATGACTGCTGTTAATAGCAATCGCGTCTAGCTTAAATTCATTCATGAAGGTGTTGACCTGTAATCTATTATGTCAGTGCCTTTCTAATCTATTGCTTGACGAATACTTAACCTGTTCATTCTGTAATGCCAGCAGCGGGGAGACCATGATTGTTACCCGACCTTCCATCATTGGGAGGACATGTGGCCCCGCTGCTATAGCAGTCTTTCCGGCTCCTGTCCCCGCATGCACAATAACATCTTTGCCTAGCAGTTGTGCCTCAATAGCCTCGAGCTGAAAGGCCCTCAGCTTCCACCCAAATCGTTCCTCCAGTTTGGCCCCCAGACCCTCCAGGTCCTTGTGTGTTGGCCGTGGTTGAGTAGGTTTGTCAACTCCCCTCATTGCTGATCTGGGCTGACAGGTGGCTTTCTTTCTAGACATTTTAGAATGATGGGTACGATGATGAAGAGATAGTTTTCAATGTATCCACGTGATGAATATATCTTGCCTTTCGCCTTCACCTCTCCTCGAATTCGAGATGAATAGTGCCCAATCTAACTTTTCTCCAGCCTTATCATCAAGGAACTCAAAACACTCTCCTGACAGTCTATGGAACACACCACTGCCCCATCTCAACCTTTTTCAATCATACCCTCAAGTTGCAACTCTCGGCCTCAACAACTGCCCTTCTCCCCGAGGGTTACACCCCCCCACATTTGTTGTGTCGGATGCAGCACAAGATGAAGAGACGAATCAGTCATCTTCCCCTCTTTCCTCTGCACCTAGTTCCCCCATGAACACACCACGACGCCGAGCCATGTCATTGCCGCCATTATCAAGCCCCAGTGTAATCCAGAGCAGTCCAGTGGTTGGATCCAAGGAGGAGCGCCTTGCCATCAAGCGCAGAAAGAGTGCTAGAAAGCGGCAAATGACCCTTGCCACCTCGAAGGCCATCGCATTGGAAGTTGAGGAGGAATCGCAAAAGTCACGTCTCGAAAATGTTCTCCGATATCTTGAGAATCAGGATGTTAGCCTTGGCGAGGTGAATGAGTATGTTTTTGATCCACACAATGGGCAGGGCTCTCACCGATGGGATGGTTTTTTCCGCGAGCATGGTCGTGCCACACGAATCCTGAATTGGTGGGTAGCATCATCAAACAGCATGACTGCCCGGGGCGAGGTCCATGAATGGGCAGTCCAATATGTTGCCAATGCTGTTTCACGCGAGGCAGGTGCAATAACACGTCAAGGAATTCTGCGAAAACCAATTATCGACAATGGTTTTGTCGAAGATTTCAGTTTCGAGAACCTCTACCAGAGCCTTCGGAACCAATTTGCGACTGTAACCACCTGCATCTTTGAGTCTCTGGCCACATCATCCAGACAATTGGCTAGCGGTCTCACACCTGCAAGAATGGGCAAAAAGAGAATGGTAATTATCTTGAACCCAGATCATGACCTCAATGTACTTACGAGTTCTGATGTCATAGGTCATCACCTCATCGATTTTGGCGTGTCTTGGTGAATACAGTCTTTTCAACAATGTCACCAAGCGTATGATGGCCTTGTACCTCTACGCTACTGGCTCCCAACGACAGCCAATCACGGTTCTTTCGCATTTAGGCATTTCCGAAAGTTATGCCAATCTTGTCGCAAAGATACCTTCTGAGAGTGACAAGACATCTGCCTCTTCGGTCTCAGACTCAATGAAGCCCAAACGTATCCGGAAAGTAGCTGGAACACTCAAGCAACTGTCTGACTTTATGCGTCAGAAAGCCAGGGATGTCGCAGCAACAGGCTTGTATGGTGTCGTCTATGATAATATCAACTTCATGGCAAAGACTGCTGAGCAAATTATTGGACGCAAAGGTTTGTAATTTACAAATTGAGAATCCAAGATGGGTGTAACAACTAAAAGTACCTTCGTTTCAGATACACTGGAAAGTGGCACTTGTGCTACTATCTGGCCATTGCATGGTGCCACCTTAGACGATATGAGATTGTCCGATCTTCATCAGTCATTCAATGTTGCCCCTCCCTTATCCATCACTGACATCCTCCATACACGGGAAGAGTCGCAATTGTTCCGGAAATGCATTGTTCATTGTATCATGCGCATCATTGTCAGCCATGGTGGTGAAGGTTTCGAAAAATTCCAGTCTGACCTCAACAAATCCCTCCCAAAGACCAACCAGCAAATTCCTACACATAAAACAAAGCTTTACCCATTACCGACTTGGAAGATTGATGAGTCCACTATTGTCGGGAATGCCGATGTCGACGCGGCAATCGTTCGGGAATTGCACCTTCGAAATCAGTCAACCATGTGGATGCGGCTCACACGGATTCTCGCAGGAGATCAATTATCAATTGCGCGACTTCGGGCACTTGCCAATATAAGGGCAGGACATGAGGGAGGATATTCAAGTTTTGGATGGGGTGCATGGATGCCTGGGTTATTCCATGGGAAGATTGCGAACATGCATGGTTTCTTCGTCACGCATTGGGGTAAACCGAATGCAGGTACACGCAATCCTGGCTGCCTCGCATTCCACAACACCCAACTCCACCGTCTTCCGATCTCAGTGACTTCTTTACCCACATTCCGAGTATGCCATGATCTCATTTTCGTGTCTTTATATGCACGAGTTCTTCATTGTCTTTTGCTGGTCTCAGGTTGCAAATCGCTTGCGGATTACAGCGCCAACGTGGACACACTCGACAATCTACAGTCACATGCTACACAGATCCTCGACTGTTACGCAAACCCGAAGATTGTAGACGAGCTGCGGTGGCAGCGCTCTGGGACCCAAGTACAAGAAACCCCTTCTGCAAGGTCTGAGGGTGACATGGTCTTCGAGAATGCACTCCTTTTTTTGCGTGATGCCCTTATCTCGAGAGAGTTCACTGATGCTGTGAAGAGTGGAGATTCTGGTCGGGCCCTTCTTGTCCTCAAAGTTTGGGCCCTTAGTTTTCGTGGTAATGGGCGCACAAAGTACGCATATGAGATGCTACATTTGATTCATAATCTTACCCATGTCTGGCCCAAGAAACTCTGGTGAGCTCTTTTGAAACGTTGTCCAGTATTTTATTCAACCCTGTTTAGTGAGGTCATCCTTAACAACTGGCTACTGAATCCCACCGGCAAACCTAATAGCTTCGTGGAGGTTGATTTGGTTCAAGAACATATGAATTTCTGGATTAAGGTCTGAGTCTCTACCTTTTCTGACTAGCGCCTAGGACACTGATATCTACAACAGACCTTCTACAAAGCCCATGGGAGCAACAGGTCATGGGAATGGCTTGAAATGGTCTCACCATGTGTCAACGCGTTGCGCCATATCGCCACGACCATGAAAGATATGCTCGGGACAGATATTGGAACACGGCATGCACCTGCCGATCTCACAAAAGACATCACAATTCTTATGGATTCCCTTTTCGAGCACAAGGTTTACCATTTGACGAAAGGCCGCATACTGGACAATGACGACTTTCCGGTGCCAGATGTGGTTTCAGTTGGACTACAACAGCTTACAGACGGTTCTTCCAATCCTCTGGCAGAGTACAACAAGGCCTTCAAACGCCTTCAAAACCAACGCAGCACCAACCCCATCGTGGAACCAGAACCTCTCTCCCGAACCACCCCTGCAATTTCTCATGACCAACCTGACAATTCACACGTCATTCCACCTGTAGCAGTCGCTCCTGAGGTGATCAGTTTGGCGGGTGTGGATAGCGAGGGCGAGGGCGAAGGTGGCGAGGAGGTTGACTTTGAGGATTCAATGTTGGATTTAGATGATGGTGACGTGACGTTGGAGAGGTTGGGGATTGAAGATGTCGCATTTGATATGGATATAGGGGGCAGTATGGATGCAGAGGATGATGGGGAGTATCTTGAAGGTGACTGGGAGGAGGAAGCACCAGAAATCGAGCTTAGCAGTGTCTTCAACGAAGTTTACTAAGGTTGTTTGCGCGTCGTTCATCGAAATTTCGCTAAGTCTTTTGTCACAAATGCGTGACCCGCCAAAGTGACAACAGGTTAGACCAGCCGTTACTTCAACGACGATCGGAGTTTGAAATAACGGCTGGTGTCGAGCCTAGGGTAATTACTACCATGGAGACTGGTAGGACTTCATCACGACCAAGGAGAGAACTTTTTCAAACCCCGACATCACCTGTAAAAGGAAAGAAATCCGCACGTGCGCACCCATTAACGGCGAACGCGTTCGCGTCGCGTACACGCCGGATGCTAGTATATTGACCACAAACATATAAAATGAGCTTAAGAAGTCCTCAAATGGTTCAGGCATAGGATAATTTAATTTATGTACAACGGTACACCTCCGTCATTTGTATATCTTCAGTATTATTCATCACCTGAGACCCCAATTCAATCAGTGACTCCTAATCCCTCTCCCTATCTATTCACGCCTCAACATGGTTTCCCTCTCGAAGGTTCGCTCCTACAAACCAGAAGAAATAGATATTGGGAAGCTGGTGGAGAATGCAAACCAGATTTTCCACAAGCGACCATTTGAATGACAACTTGATGTTCCACGCGCGGTTCTATGTGGGGAACTCGACCCCGAAAAGGGGGATGAGGTGCTGTCGTCCC